TTAAACCATTGCTCTGGAATTTCAGCTTCTGTTCAATCATCAGTAAGCTGCTCACCATACTTTCAGGAGCTGTTATTTTTAGCTATACTGTTTCTGTAAGTGAGTGGATGTGTTAAGGATGGGTAAACTGTAACAGACCATCTCAGATACCTTAGAATGCTTAACATTGCCACACACCTATTAATGTTTTTGTTGTCGCTACTAATTGGTGAACATAGAGCAAATTTTTTTCTTCACAAGAATCATCATTGAATCTAATCATTGCTTCTCTCTCTCTCTCTTTCTTTCTCTGTCTCTCTCTCTCTCTGTGTATACATGTATGAGAATGCATGTGTTTGGAGGCCACAAGTCCACATTGGGTAACTACTTCTATTGTTGACCCCTACTACAGTTTAGCCACATGTATTTACTGTGTGCGTTGGTAAGCCCAGGTGTGACACACTATAAATGTGGAGGCCTGAGAAGAGATTATAGAAGTTGCTTTTTCTCCTTCTATGATGTATGTCCTAGGATGAATTCATGTCAGCATGCTTGGCAATACACACCTTCATTTGCTGAACTATCTCACTAACTCCATTCATCTTTACTCTTGGAAACAGCATCTCTCAATGAATCTGCTACTCACCCAATTTCTGGAACTGGCTACCCTGTCAACTTCAAGGATCCACCTATCTCTATTTCCAAGCACTAGACTGATAGATGTGGACTACCATACCCTACTCTATTGTGGGAGGTGGGAATCCAAATTCTGGTCCTCATACAGGAGCAGTAGGTGTTTTACCAAATAAGGCAGCTTCATTATTCACACTCGTAACCACCTCATGATTACATGTCTGAATGTGATCTTCACAATTCATTTTCTGAAAGAGCAAGTCTGCACTGTTTGAGTAAGTCCTGATGTGTATTTCTCCTAGAGATGGAGTGTATCTTTGAGCACTTCACATAGTGTTACCTCTTTATTATTCCCATTGGAAACTCTGCAGGCTCCCCAACCTCAACACTGACTCCCATAGTCCTTCCATGGTTCCCACAGATGTTTCTCCTCTACCTGATTCTGTACTTATTTCCACAACAAAAGGCAACACCACTTCCCTAGACTTGGACTATACATTATTAACATTTTATTTCCTTGACTTGAATAGCCATCTTTGACTCTTCTCTCACTTCCCAATCAAGTAAATGCTGATGTCAATTTCTTATCATTTTTTCTTACAATCTCCCAATCATACTTTTATATTTGCTCTCACTGTACAATTGATACGGAAGTCTAGGGTACCACCAGTTTATATTAGGAACACTGCAAATTACTTAGAACTATTCTCTAACCATTCCTAATTGCTAAACCACCCACTGGAAACTAGAACTAGAATGCAAGTTTTATGAAACTTCAATCAGCTGCTTGAAAGTAGTTATTGATTACCTGGCTCTGCCAAGGGATTGTTGCCTATTTGCTTATGTGTATTAATATGTGTTCAATATGTTAACTGCTAAGTTACAAGAAGACAAAAGAAGTATCAAAAAGTCATTTTATAGTACACAAATATTACATTTTCTATTGCCATGTAAATGTAAGAATTTCTCCAAATATAAGGCATTGTATAACTGAATGGTTTGTCATTGACATAGCCAGAAATATATATATATATATATATATATATGTGTGTGTGTGTGTGTGTGTGTGTGTATACATATATATATATATATATATATATATATATATATTATAAAATTTGCTCTCTACTTCATGCAAGTAATTATTGCCCAGGATCTGAACAATAATCTGTCATGATTTAATCCCTTTTTCCAATAGCAACATGTGAAAAGACACAAAAACCAATGCCCTGTGATTGGCTGCTAGGCATGTGATTCTGAGTGGCTTACATGCTGATGTGTCCAGTAGAGAATAGTAGGGTCAAGTCCGTTGGAAACCCTGACCTAAAGCAGACATAGCAAAGATTTTTTTTGATGTTTTGGTGAATCCCCTGGAATCCACTTCTTCAAACCTTCAAATTGCTGGATAATGGTATTTGAAAGTGGGGAATTTGGAAGGTTATTAGGATGAAGCCACTTCACGATGGCAATGGTGGTTTTGTAAGAGATGTGCATTAACACTTTGTAAGTCACCATTTGATGCCCTCAATAGGTTATGCTGCAGTAGGAAGTGGAAACTCATACATCACAAAGACAAAGGCAACATCATCAAAGCAGGAGAATTTCAAATGGTTTGAAGAATAGACTCTACTTAGTCAGACAATTTAAGGGAAGGTATCTCAAGAGAAAGGGATAATATGAATGAAGACTAATCTAGATTAATGTCATTGCTACCATTTCCATGATATGTAAGATACTGTGTGGCCAGTTGACTTACAGAGTGGCAATGGCCATCAGGATGGAAACAATACACATTGACCTTGACTGACTAGATTTAATGGGTTTGGATATGACACAAAAGCAAAAAGAACAAAAACAAGTGTATCCAAGAGGATCCCTGGCCCTCCAGGAAACAAGACTTTAAAATAATTTGCAGTGTTATAAATGTGAGTATGGGGTTAAGATGAACCATGTACACGTCACACAACTATAACATTCCCACTTAATTATCTTGAAGTCCAGTAGTGTGACTATGTAACCACCAAATTTCTACAAAATAATTAAGTGGATTTCACACACTCTGACTAATGTTCCCTGGATGTGATTCAACCTCTGTTCAGAGTATAAATTCACACTGTACATGCTACCTGCCTGTTAGTTACAAAGTAGTTACCATGCAAATCAACATAGACAGTGAGGTACTAATAAAATAATTTACTAACACACAAATATATAATTTATTGAAATATACTCCAATAAAGCAGTGAATGAATTTCTATAGAGAGACAATCATGCCCAACTCAGAGAAACAGATGGAAGTTGTGTTATTGGAAGTATAAGAGAAGTTACTTAGTCTTTTCATCATGGGTCTCTTGTGTTGGTCCATATCTTAGGGGACAAGTGAAGCTCTTGGTACCACCTGCACGCTAGTTTTATAACAATATTCATGTTCCAAAGACTGGCTGGTAAAAAAATCCAGTCTTTCTCTTTCCACAAGCCAGTTCCCAGATAATGTCCTGAGGACTTCTTATTAATTATGAAAGCTCAGCCTATATGTTAGGCTTGTTCCTAACTAGGTCTTACAATTTAAACTAACCCATAATTTTTCATCTATGTTCTGCAATATGGCATTATCTTTCTTCCCTCTTGTGCCTCCCATTTCCTCTCCATGTCTGGCTGATGATGCTGCCTTTTTCTTCCCAGAGTCCTCCCTATTCCTGGAGGTCCCACCTATACCTCCTGCCTAGCTATTAAAGCTTTGTATCACACTAATCATAGCAATTTCACATAATGTATAAATAATCCCATAACGTGGGCCTTTTGTGCATAGCACTTGTGAGTGTTTAGGGGTTAGGCTCCAAATGTCTGTGTAAGACAATTGGGGTCACTAGGGAGCCAGCTCCAGACACTCAAGTCTGGACTGTGGAGATGTGGGAATTTTGCTTTCATTTGGTTCTTCTGTCTTTAGAGCTATCAGACTCACTGCTATGGTACTGCATTGCTTTCATTTTAGTAGAATGCATTTTATTCAATACTGGTCTCAGAATTACCAATCGCCATGCTGGCAAACCCAAACAGGCCAAAGGACTGCTTTCTAGAAGTGTAAATTGTAAATATTCTCAGGAAGAAGAAGAAGAAGAAGTAAATTCTAGAAGTTGCTAAGATCTTGGGATAGGACAAATCTTCCTTTTGTATATTAAATTGTGGAAGAAAGAAAAGGAAATTCATGCTAGTTTTGGTGTTACACATACAAGGAAGGACAATAGTTCTGCCCACAGTATGTAACAGGTGCTTCTTCAAGATGGAATAAAGTATTAAATTATAGTGCTTGTCTTTCTCTGAGATCCTTGGCTAAGATAGACTCTGTAAGAATCAGACCTGTACAACTATAATAATGACATAATTCTTAACATTTCACTTCCAATAAACACTCATTTTCTCACATGCACTGTCAATTTAATCAACTAGCAATTGTCTTCAGTAGAGAGTTTAGGAAAAGTTGGCCCTGTCCTGCTCTCAAATACCAGCTGGCATTTGTGTCCTGAATTTAATGCTGTGAGTTCTATTTGGGCTACAGAGTGAAAAAGTTTCCCTAATGATACCTTCTTGTCAGGAGAATTATTTCATTTAGAAATTCTAAAGCAAAAGAACAGCTATGAAGGATGGGATCCACATTTAAATAAATAAGGGGTTATTTTGCTCCCAAAAGTTTTCATTCCAATTACTGATCAGATCTCACACATCAGCTTAAAGATGTCTGCCTTGGGTCGTTACCAAATGACAGACTGTGATAAACTGGATGACAAGAGCAAGACAATGTGGTATTGTTTACACAGAAGATTGAGTAACTGGTTAGACAAAAGTTCTTGGGTATCTATTGTATGTACAACTAACAGATTTACTGGGGCTTTAAAATCTCTTCAAGGCTCTTTTTCAGCCAGCTTCATTAACTTGAAGTAAATCAAATCAAGCAGAAATCGGGCTCTGCCACAAAGAAACCAGGAAGAATAAGAAACACAAACCTGAGATGATAAAGTTTAGAATATTTGGCATTTTCATAAAAAAATTTGTTAGAAGATTATTAAATGACAATGCAAAAGCAAAGAAAGAAGTAAACACAAGTAAATTCTAGCTTTTCACCTGAGCTTTTCTTTACTATATATATATATATATATATATATATATGTATGTATGTATGTATGTATGTATGCACATTATATATATATGCACATTACAGGTGTGTGTAGATGAAATATAGATTTTTAAAACTTAAATATAATTTTAACACAAAGATATCTGTACATACTTTTTACATGCACAAAATTAATTGATTTGAAATTGGCAAGGTGTGCCATGGAGTTGTTGGGAACTCAAGACTCAGACCCTATGTTCAAAGGACTTTTTAGTGGTTGTTTTGTATGAACAAGGCTTTGAATTAAGCTTTTATTATTTACATCTTATTTTGACTCTCAGAAAGACAAAAGACAAATTTGTACAAACAAAGCCATTTTAACTGTCTGCTCACAACATCAGGTAACTAGAACAATTATATTTCACCAAGAGGCTGTAACTAAGACCCTTCATACTTTTATATTCCCAAGTACTTTCTGATATTATTAGCCAGTCTCCTCTCATCCCACCATTTCTCTGAGGATGTATATCGACATCTCATTTTGGTAATAAACAAAATGTGAAATTGGAAGAAATAACATTTTACAGCAATGAAATACTATCATGAAATCCCTCCTCTTCAAATGAGTGACTCCTTGGGACCTTCAATGACACCCCTTGTCAACAACAGCTGAGATACAATACAAACTGGCATCCAATGCTAACATGTCACCAAAAACAAACATGTCTTGAGTAATCACAGTTTGATTCCAAACTATTTGTATTAATTCTGGAAGTCATTAAATATTCATTTTCTAATGTACATTATCTGGATGGATATAGATGTTGACAAAATATTCTGCAATGAATGGCGGGATTGAGACTGGAAATAACTGCACCTCTGTTGATGACTGCATTTTATGACAGAGCTTTGCAATGGAGCAGAGGCTGACATGATACAGCTCCTGAGATGGCACTGAGCTTGTGACTGTCCTGCTTTGGCCTCTTCATTGCTGGGATTACACATGTGAGCCACCAGCTCCAGATGGAAATTACTGAATCTTAGTGAAATTCTGCTGACGGTACTGAAATAAGTTTAGCATGATCCTGGAATCAAGTGGTTTGGCTGTTCTCAAGGATAGTGTTCAGATACACGGACACCTGGTTTTAATGTCCTACCGACAAATGGATGAGAGACTCTCACGGTCTCAGACTTGATGCCTTTTGCTGGGTTAAATGTCTAGGCATCAGGGATATTCATGCTTGGAGACTTGTGTGCAGGTGTGTGTACATCTGTATATGTGCAGTCAGTGGAGAATGATGAGGGCTGCACAGAGCACCCATTTCAGCACACGTCAGTACCACTGGAGCAGCCAGGACAGAGGTCTGATCAGCTACACATAGGATGCTGTGGTCCTCAGTCAGTGTGATCCCTAGACAGTGTTCCGCTTCTTCCGAAGTGGGCTGTGGCTGCTGCAGAGCTTCAGCTCTGCATACTGCACCTGTGAAAACAAACAGGCGTGATACTGGCAGTTAGGTAACCCTAGCTTACCACAGAGTGTGTTAATGGCTCCCCAAGGACAGGGAGGCAAAGGAAAGAAGGTTCAAAGGTAATGAATCATTTTCTAAACACACAGAGAGGCAGGGAGGGGGGAGGGAGGAGGGGAATTAATTGCAGGAAGGGTTTCAGACGTCATGCATCATTTCTTGAATCCAAAGTATTAAATGTAGATTTTTTTTCTAACGAGATGCATGGGCTTCTATGGGCTTCTACTTAATTCACCACTGCTGCCCAATCTTGATCTTGCTTACACCATCTTTCAACCGTAAATAACCTAATAATTGCTTCTTGGGATTGTTGATCTTATGACACAATAGCTTACTGAGTATTATTCATTTCAAAGTACCTCCAATGATGGGGGAAATTTGGCCTCTTACAGTCATTAACTTTACCTAAGAGGGGGAAAAACATTGAAATGGATACTAGGCCTCAAACTTTTGTAGATGTCATTTAAAATTAATTCCACTTAAAGGGTAATGGCTAGAACATCTGTGATAACCCTGAACACTTGGGGAGTCCCCAGAGGCAAACTGTCATTGTCATTAAAAAGCACCCTGAATGGGAAAGGGAGACTAAAGCTAATGAATGGAGCATATTGTTTCAAATGTTTTGGCATCTGTATCTCTTTGTGAATACACCAAATATACCTGGGTGAACACTCTGAGGGCTGTTGCCAGGACCTTGAAGAGAGGGGATTGATGGGACATTTCTAGTCACAGATGCTATATGAACTCACACTGTAACTCAAGTAATGGTACACTGTAAGCATAATGTTTTCATGTGTAGCTCTGGTAGGCTGGGGGTAGAATGCATGTGTGTTATTGGTCACACATGCTCCCTAATTTTAGCATTTCTGCCAAATCCCCCAAGGATGTTATACCTAGTCCCACATTAGGCTACATGTTGCCAAAACCATATAAACAAAAAGAAAAGCATATCCTTCCCATTTTGTGTTCTGCAAAAGTCCTCCAGGATAACTGTAAATCTTAAATTCACAACAAACAAAGACCAGGTCATTATTTCTTGATTATGTCGTGTTAATACTGGAGAGTACATATATCTTTATAGAATTTATTTAAAGAGTTTGTCATAACGTAAAAGGGTTTTGTTGTTGTTGTTATTTGTAAGCAACACAGAGTCCATTTTAATCTCTGGAATGTGGAATGGAGGGGGGAAAGGACCCTTGAGACCTTTAGCCCCATGTGTCTATAATCCACCTAAAGATGCCTGGAAACCAATTATGCTACATTGGCCCTATGATGAGAATCGATACTTGATTTGGGGTTCCCTCAGACAATAAAAGACTGTGCCTTTGATCATCCTGATGATGCTTCATGCCATGATATCCCCCTTTACCTATTCAGTGGTCACTTTTCTCCATTAGCAGAAATCACTGCCTGCCTGCCTTCCTCTGGCTTTGGTGCAGGTAAGTCTGCAGGGCACTGATGGGGCCATTCTTTGGGACTTTGCACTATTGTTGCCTTTGTTAATCTCTGTGCATCCACAAAATTGAGACGCTGTTGGACTAAGTGAGCATTACCTGTGAAAAATACTTGGGATTGATCGCAAATTTGATTTCCTACAACCTCTTCTTCTGTGTATATCAGAGTAAGCAGGGGCTTTGCCCTCAGCATTCCTAAGTCCTCAGGGGAAAGAGGATAGAGGGCAGGCTGAAGAGATAATTGGAGCAAGAAAGGAATAGAAAGAATAATCCTCTTGTCTCCTCCTTCCACTAAAATGCCTGCCATCTGGAGAATGAAGAAAATAAGCAATGCCCCTCAGCACTGGATCTCATGAAACTCCTCCTAGCTTGTCTCACTCTCTTCAGGGAGGCAAGCAATCAAAAGGGGGACCAACACTGCAGCCCCGTAGCTGCTCAGTATGAGTTCCCGCTTCATTCCTAAGTAGCTCTTTTGCAGGATAATTTCCCCCAATCATTATATACTTTGAATGAAGGGCTGGATCTTCTCCCTACCACCTCCCAGAAAGAACTCTAGGGATTTTCTGACTCCTTATCTCAATTACTCACACAAGCACAGCCATGTGTCCTTCCAAATCTCTAGAGCTGCTAAGAGCTCAGTGCTGGTGCCTCTGTGGGTGGTGAGCAATCATCACCTACCTTCTGAACATCCGAGGGCACCCTGGAGAGAAAGTCCAGGAGCTCGTTATTGTCGATGGAATAAGGATTTCGAAGCTTCTTAGTAAATTTATTTATGCCTGCAAAACAAAAATATGATGTTTTTATTGTTCATATCTATCTATCTATCATCTATCTATTCTCTATCTGCCTGTCTATCATCTATCTTTGAAATCATGCCTGAGTGGGGGGAAAGAGATATTCACAACTGAAAATTAGTGTGAAAACAATTACTGCACTTCCACTCGTGCACATGTTGCTGTCATGTGGCATCATTCACAAGAACCGTTTCCTGAAATGAAGTAGGTCATGCAGTAGAAAGAGGACTCTGCCTTCTTCAGCTGTGAACATCCCAATACAGCCCCAGCCGAAGGGCTGCAGAAACTTGGGCTACTAAAGGGGGACCAATTGTCTCTTTCGGTAGCCACTGACTAAGAGCCTCCTGTGCTATTGAAACGAATGTGCCACATGGGAAAAGGCCTTTACTAGTCCAAACAAGTCACTGTGTGGACACTCTGAACAAAACATAGCTGTGGGGAGAGGAGGGTTGGAGCTTTGGTGGGTAGAGAGAAACTGTAGCAATTGCTCTTCCTCTACTCATTTTCACAGGATCCTCTGCTCTCGCTGCAGAACAGAACTTGACATGTTGATTGTACGTTGCTGGCAGAAACTGTGAAAAGTTATTATTGGAAAATTATCAGACTGTGGTGACTAACTTCATTTGTGGACTGCAACACTGGCACACGTGTTTGTCCAAGCAAGAGTCTGCACTCACTTAAAATGGGGACAGTAGTAATAAGAATAAGGTTCCATGTTCAAGGTGCCAGGTTACCAGGGAGCATCTGTCAATCTTCGGTTGTGCATGTGGAGTTCCTGGGCATGCCCAGAACATGGATTCCTCTGCAAAGATAGATTCCTCCCAACTTTCTTTTGTCTTCTACTCTGCTCCTTAGGGCGCTTTTGCCTTATCCAGATCTCATAAGCTATAGTCTTTTCACCAAATGTCAACCCCCCCCCCTTTTTTTTTTTTTCATGTTGAGTTTTAGAAGCAGAAAGACTAGGTGGCCTTCTGAAGTTTTGCCACAGGGTGCTTGTTTAACAAGGATCATATCTGAAGGCCCTCCTGTCCCAATGATGCTGAATGAATGTTCAGCTTAGTTGTACTCTGAATGGCTCCTACTCAGAAGCCAAGTTCAACAGTCCCCATCACATAAAAGGTTTGATGTTTCCCTTTGTTCATTAAATATGACTTTGCTTTCATCTAAGGAGTCGACTTCCTGCATGGCATTGTACCTGACACAATGACAACCTCCAGTCCTTTCTTTGGGGGGTCAGATTTACATCTGCTTTGCAAATGGGAACCAGCCATTGTTCATGAGTAAATGGTGGCTTGGTGGTTGGCTGGGGAAGGATCTCAGTAATGCTCCCCTTTCCTTCAAGTCAAAGCTGCACTCTGCCTTTCTTCCCTCTACCCCCACAGCAAGCTTCGTGTTTGGAACGAAAATTCCCCCCAGAGTCCCTTTAAACTAAAATACTCTCACTGTGTTATTCTAAAGACATTTAATTGTAGCATGGGCTTTTTGGCAAAAGAAAAACAGACAAGGCAAAATGATGAAGGGAGACAAAGACCTATTGAGAAAAGATGTATCTCCTATTGTTAATTATATATAGTGTGCGCATCTGGAGCCTTTACAACAAACGGCAAGGCAGGGATAATATCACAGCCGATCAAAACACTGAATTCTTAGTCACTGAGAAGATTACAAACCTGCACAGCGGCTCAGACTCACCCATAAAGACAGAAGTAGTCCACAATGCAGTGAGACTGACTATGTTTCAAAAACTTGGAATAAAAATCACAAGGTATTCAGCTTGCACGCCTCAGAGGCATAGCTTATTTCTAAGGCATCTTAGGGTTGACAGTTTCAGGTATTCTGCTAAATTAGCTATTATGTGAGATCAAGTATGAAGAGAACACTATAGACTCCTTGGTCAACTTTAGTGGATAATAGGGCAATAGAAAGGTATAGGTGTACCTGAACTCCCATTTTAGTTTTATAATATAAAACTGTGATTTTAGGAATATCACTTAACCTTCCTGGGCCCAAGATTTCTGAAAATGCAATCTTTTTAAATAAAAACTATCCCTCTGTAGTTTCCAGGGTTGATGATAGAATCATGTTGAGTAATATAGGCAAGGATTTTATAATCTGCAATCACTCAACAATAGAGGATAACTGGAGTCGCCATTGTACATGCCACTTAGGTAGTACCATAAGGACGTAGTGATGAAAGAGGTCTTTGTGCTATTATGCATCTCACATGTACTGTTTTGAAAACACATATCCAAACACAGAAGTTGTAATTTGATCCAGTGAATACTAGTCATAACTTTAGACTTTTTAAAAACTAAAATGATGCAGATAGTTATCTGTTGTTAATATTGTTAGCCAAGACAAGAAGTGTCAATACAAATGCAAATCACTGGGTAGAACATTTGATAATGAAATTATTGGAGAGTGGTCCCAGGCCATACAGCATACAGATCAGTTAATGGTGCTGCTAAGGCCTCCAATAAAGGGAAAAATCACTTGGAGAAATTATGTGTCTGCTTTGCATTTTTGTAACACTGTATCATCCACATGGCATAGAAAGACACTGTCCATCAGTACTTGAGTACATTGTGTACAGTTCCAAGTACATCACTTTGGTTGAGTGTAAGACAGAGAAGCCATGCTTGTCCTGTCAAATCCTGAGTTTCTTTCTTGTAACGATACCATGATCTCAAATGGAAATGCAAGGTGAATGGCATAGTAACTTCTTACAAAAATCTCAAAATGTGACACGAGGAGTATCCATGTATGTATGTATGTATGTATGTATGTATGTGTGTGTATGTATATATGTATGTATTATCTATCTATCTATCTATCTATCTATCTATCTATCTATCTGAGACCAGACTTGATAGATGAGAACATCCATGATAAAGAATTGAATCAAAGGAATCAAGGGAAACATCTCCATAGAAGTGTCTGAGACCAGAACTGATAATGACTACATTGTGTAATGATGGAAGTGTCTGAGACCAGTATCAGTAGATAATGCTGAGAACATCCATGACAAAAAAACAGATTCAAAGGAATTAAGGGAAAAATCTCAAAAGGGGGAAGAAAAGCATGTATTGGACTAAATAGTGGAATTGTGTGCCGTACAGAAATGAAAAGATCACACAGATGAGCAAAGTTCCATAGAGACTTCTAGAAATGTGGGTATCATTCAAGTTAGCAAAGTCTGGTAGAAAAAGCTTCCTAAGGAATTTCAGAATTTCTTTAACATTAATCCTCTGTGGGAATTCCCAAAGTCACTCTCCCAAAATAAAGAAGTGGTAGGTGCCACAGCAGGTCACCTTTATGGAAGACAACTATGAGTATTCAGAGTCAATTGCTTATATTTCCAACTATTTCTTACATTCTGTTTACACCCAGATGCCTACACTACACACTACAGAGCCCAAGAGCAAAGATAGTGTGCCACCTGTCAAAACTTCATGGTGAATTTTTGAGTTCAGCAGTATTTCCCATGAGAATTCTGAAGTTAAGTTTCTATTATAAGTTTATGTCAAAAAATGTCTAAGGTTGACATGCATCTACAAAAAGTGTTTACTGTATAAAATATGAGATATAGTGCATAAAATTTGGTTAATTTTTTCAAAGGGTTTAAGCCATCAGTTCGTTTTTGATCCTAATTCATCTGGTTTATCAATCAACAAAAATTATCAGGTAATGTGTAGAATAAACCATCAAAACCTTAACACAGTTAAAAGGAGCAACAAAAGTTTTAGGCATATACATGTAACTTTTTCTAGGTGACAAGGTGGGATTCTACAGATGATAGAATAATTTAAGGGATATGCAAGCTTATTCTCTGTAATTATGCTAATAACCAATTCACTTAGGGAAAGGAGAGGTCATAATAGAATTGCAGAATATATCTCAAATTGCATTATCTGTTTTGCATGAGAGGAAGCAAGTAACCATGTGTTGATGGTTAAGGATTAGACTCCATTACCAATTAGTAAATTCATCAATAAGCTGTCAACTGTTGTCTAGAGTGTAGAACTAAGGAACCAGAGGGAAAGACTGAGAAGGTATGTTTAGGCCAATGAGAGAAGAATGAACTCCACACTGTTTAAAAATATCAGCCACAAACTAAAAAACAAGTAGAGAAATGTTTTATTAAGTTTATATAAAGAGATATTAGAAAGCTGCTAAGATGCAGAAAGATAAAACACAAGTCAGAGTGATTTGGGAGAGTAAAAAAAGAGGCACTGGTATGCCAAAATAGACAACCAGAAGAGAAGTGCAGTTTCCATATCTGATCTCCATATCTCTGTATTAGACAGTCAGGGGTCAAAAATATTAGAAAAAAAGTCTGTGCAGAACTTAGGCTGACTTTCCTTTTGCCAGTCCCTAAAACCAGATCTTGGCAACTGTTTATCATAGTTTTATATAATTTATATATTAGTGACCTAGGGGATTACTATTGTTATAAAGTAGAGAGGAGTGTGTGCACAGGTTAGAGGCAAATACTATGTCAGTGCATACGGGACTTAATCATGTAAGCGCTAGAAGTAAATGGAAATTGGATCGGAAAATAAATTCACATAAAAATGAAAGAAAAAAGTTACTGGGGAAAAGGATTTCTATTTTTGTTTCCACAGGGGGAAAAATGAAAGAAAAATAAAATTGTTTTTGTTGTGCAATGCAGCTGTGTTTCAAACTTCATACGTGATTCTTATTGATTCCTAATATTTTTTAAGTGAAAACTCCATGAAGATGAAATTAGAATATGTTCTTCCTCTGACTGGCTACAATGGAGAGAGACTTCTTTAAGATTTCATCTCCTTCCTAGGACACAAGGAGAGCATGCCCCCCAGAGTCAACTAAGCATGGCTCATGGGGGACTCACAGAAACTGAAGCAGTAATCATGGAGCCTGCATTAGTCTGCAGTAGGTTCTCTGTATACACGTTACTGTTGTTGGCTTGGTGTTTGGGGTGGGGGTGCTGGCCTCCTGACAGGGAGCAAGAGCTGTTTGTGACTCTTTGACCTGCTTTTGGGACCCTTGCCCTCCTACTGGGTTACTCACCCAGCCTTGATGTGAGTGTTTGTGCCTGATCTTATTGTATTTGGTCATGCCAAATTTATTTGATATCACTGGGAAGCCTGCTCTTTTCTGGTAGGAAATTGGGACTGGCAGTGGTTCTTGGGGAGAGAGGAGGTGAGGAAGGGTCCTGGGAGGAGTGGAGGAAGGAGAAGCTGTGGTCAGTCTGTATGATATGAGAGAATAATAAAAATTTTTAAAAGGCACTTTCACCTCCTAAGTAACAGAGAATGGCCAAGTTACCCTCCCCCATCCATGCTGTTCTGTGTTCTTATGAGTGATTTCATTTCTCTGGTAACTTCTCTCATTTCCTAATGTCCACATGGGTTTTTTCATCAGCATGTTCCTTCCATTGCCACCATTTTGATAGAATTTCTTGAGGCCTCAAAAAAAGATGTAGCTTTTATCTTCATTTCCCGGTTCTCTGCTGCTAATTACAAGGGAACACACCTCAGGACTTCTCTGAGTAACCTGATGCACAAGATCCCACGAAACCATGAGGATGGGGGATTCAGCAACAGGCTTAAGACAGGCTGCTGGCTTCTCCATCAATGACTTGAGTACGCACCTAGTACATTCTCGTTGTCATACCAGTAAAAACATGGACATTCACAAAGATGCTTCCATTTTGTCCAGTTGCTTTCTTAACTATGAAAACTAGTCAGGACATATGTGTCAACTTGACCATTTTTCTTGTTGCATTCTCAAAGTGGCTAAACTTTATGCAGGCAAGCCAAGGCACCTGCAAACAGTAGCTTCCTCCTCTTTCATGCACTGCTTAGGTAGTCCCAGATGCTTCTGGACTTGACTATGAGGTTAGCTTGTTTCTTGCAGTTGAGATGAAGTGTCAGAAACAGTGGGGCAGTGGCCCCATTTTTACTGTCTACAAAGGGCAAGATGCAGGTGTTTGCCCACCATTTGAACCACAGTGTTTCTGGAAAGTTACTAGGCCACAGCCATATATTATTCAAAGCAATTTATGGCCAGGAAAGCCTAAAGGGAAATAGGAAGCCTGATCACAGGTTCATTTGATTGTGATTCTGCACAGGGCTTATAAATATCCATGTTGAGCCCTTATGCAACTGGCCTTTGCAGAAAGGTCCTGGAAGTTTTCATTCCCCAAATGCTTTCCTTAATCTCATGCTTAATTGGTAACAAGAGCACAATTAAAGTTTATGGTTGTACTTTAAAAATGAATCATTTGTTCTTACCTGGAACTGCCTGCTAGCAAAACGATCATGTCAGACTTACCCCAGAGAAGAACAATATACCGGAGAGGGATGAAATACAAAACCACAGTGGCAATGGCCAGAATCAAACAGGCCAGCAGCGAAAGGAAGGGGACCGTCCAGTTAAACATGCTGTGAACAAACCACATAAGTGTCAGTTCATCTGATGCTAAGAAACTGCCAGTCATCCCATCATGGGTATTTCTGGGATAGCTACATACTAGGACCATTTTACAAAGTTCCTTCAAAGCACTATATATATATATATAGATAGATAGATAGATAGATAGATAGATAGATAGATAGATAGATATGTGTGTGTGTGTGTGTGTGTGTGTGTGTGTGTGTGTGTGTGTGTGTGCATGTGTAACTCTCAGAGATAAAACTTGAAGATAAAATTCTCCTAAACTGTGCACACCCAACGGGGCACCTGAGAAATCTCAATGAGGAGACTATCAGTAGACCAGTTTGCACTGAACTTATCAGAAAATCAGTAACACTGGCTTCCTCGAACCATCGGTCTCCAACCAAAACACTGCACCATGACTAAGAATGGCACTCCTGCCATAATGACATAATTCCTCCATCTCTTAAAACTAATCATTCGTGAAGTCATTTCTAAGCTGACATTTCTCTCTCAGACAGTGAACAGACAGTGGCTAGAAAATGTGGAGAAAAGGGAGATTATTATTTCTGGGTTTTTCATGCTCTCATGTGCAAATAGGGCGTTAGAACCTGGGCTACAGAAGTGAATGCAGTGTGAGCCGCACTGAGCAGTTATTAAAACCCGCCTACCTCCTGAGCACCCAGCTGTGCCTAGGCTTTCCTACCTCTTGTTTTCCTGTCACGTATAAAGGATTTGACAATATACCTCCTTGTACTAGGAGGACATAGAACATTTTTCTGTTGTCTTTGTTTGGAGGGAATGATGAGAAATACTGGATCATTTCAGAGGAAGCAAAATAAGCTAGCCCTCGGGCCATTAAGTGTCATATATTATGTTCATGCATTTGGACTGCAGCACTCTTAGTAATTCTGCCATTTAGGTACCAATCACATATTACAGATGATCAAATTGAGGCTGACGTTTGTAAATAATCAATATTCAGGGCTGAGAACGTGACTGAGTAGGTAAACCTTCATGCTATGCAAGCATGAGGACCTGAATTCAGATTCCCAGTCCCAGCATTAGAGAAAAAAAAAAAACACCCACAACAAACAAGAAGAAGGAGACCAAACAGGCACAGCTATATGCTTTACAATTTTACAATCCCACTGGGGAAGGACTAGGGCTTGGTTCCCAGCCTGTCTCAACAGAATAGAGAGCCAGAGAGCAGGACACCTGACATCTTTCTGTCCATGGAATGCCTGTTTCTTTATGAGCACATGCACCCACAATACTCAATGCACATGTGTTTGTATACCATATACACACACCAAAATTTAATTAATATTGACTCCACCAATAATGATGAAATGCAGGTAGCTCATCCTATCTTTCGGATTATTATCAATATTTCTTAAATCCATTCAGAAGTATAATATTTATTATGTGCAACTTGAAGTTCTTCATATTAAGCAAATTTGTATGCTTTTTGGAAAAATCTACAGGGCAACTTTATTAAAGTTTAAGAAAAATCCAGGCAACCACCAGGAGGAGAGATGGAAGGAAATTCACTTTTCTAAGTTCAGCTTGGAATTTAAATAGTGTCTGCTAAATAAAACAGGCATTAGATAATTAATTTGATCACAGGCTCCTAACTCTGAATCTTCATATATCTACGTAGTCCTCAGCCCTCATCAAGAAACTTCTCTTTACAACAGGTAGAGATCATTAAAGAAAGTCACAACCATTCAAAGTTCAGAATTGTTGAGTCCAGTCCCAATGGATACAGCTAGAAAACACTCCCACACTTAAGCCCAGGAAACAGTGAGGACGAGAGAACAGAAAGATTTTAAGAGCCAGAAGAACAGGGAGTTTGCTGTTGAGACAGTGTCTTCTAGTAAAGTCAAAATCTACACTCATGACGTCTCACCTTCATGACTGCCAAAACAGGACATCATCAAGGCCAGCAATGATAGACATGCTAAAGTGGACAAGGGAAATCCCACAGGCCTCAACCTACACAAAGAACTACCAGGGCATTAAGGAATACTGAACACTGAGAGTAGGAGAAACAGTTTTCCCCAGGGGAGAGCACACCAACTGTTTGGTCAAAACCAAATGTTCAACCCTGAAAACATAGACAGACAAGAGACATTATACAAATTGAACAGGTTGTATTTTGGGAGATGTGTGTGTGTGCACGCAACAATTAACAAAAAATGAGGCCATGAATTGGGGGGGTGAATATGTAAAGGTTTTGGATGGAAGAAAGAATAGGAGAGAAATGATATAGCTATAATTTAAAAAATTAAAAAAAGTACTTTAAGAATGAAGGAGCACTACTACAAATGTAAATGGGCCACTGAGCTGAGAAAAAGTCCTAAAAGCCAAATTTTTATAGCTTTTAGATTGACTGTTGACTATCTTATGCTATATATTACCAATGAAGGTTTATTTTTCCCCTTGCCTGTACTCAGTTTAGAAAAAGAATTTATATTTCAGTAGCTAGTTACTTACTTGGCATCTTAAATTTAAGCCTATTTATAAATTTTAAATAAAAATATACATTTTGTTCTTGTTTTCCTTGTCAATTTATAGATTTGGTAAGGCATCCTACTTTTATCTGTTGTTTAGTTTTTGAGACACAGTATCATACTAGACTGGAACTCAATATACAAGATGGCATCCAACTCATGGTGATACTCCTGTCTTATTCTTGCCGACGTTGGTACTGTTCCACCTGTGATGAAGCTCAGAGTGGAAATAAATTAATGAGTAGTCTTACCTAAGGACACAGAGTCACTACATGAATGGTTACCAAAGCAGTTCCTAGCACTTACTTTTCAGAAGATCACCTCACCATTAGTAACAAAGAGATATTTCAATAAAATGTATAATCTAACAAACAGGTGTATCTCTGAGTTTGAGGCCAGCCTGGTCTATAGAACAAGCTCCCACACAGCCATGACTACACAGACAAACCCTGTCTCAAAAACAAAAAACAATAACAACAAAAGTCAGTGGTGGTGGTCGTGCATGGTGTCCTGAATGCCTTTGATTCTCGCACCCAGGAAGCAGAGGCAGGCAGATATCTGTGAATTCAAGGCCAGCCTGGTCTGCAGAGCTAGTTCTAGGACAGGCAAGAATACACAAAGAAACCCTATCTCCAAAACTAAAAACAAACAAACATTGAATTATATTTTGATTCCGCAACATCATATATATTTAGAAAACAATGACACCACACAAAGACTACATATTCCATCCCTAAGCATGGAGATTCAAAAATAGCAAATAAAAATATAGATATCAGTAAATCTATAAAATTATTACTGGATTTGCCCATGTGCAGGAACTATCTCTAATAGATGTTTCTACTGCAATAGACACCAAACAGTTAATGGTAACTAAGTGGGGTAGAGTTTAGAAAAGATGTACAGAATGCAATGGGAGATTATTTCATTGGCCATGTTTGAGTTTTTTAATGGCTACATTGTGAAACTTAAAAAAAAAAAAAAACCTAAGGAAAAGTGAATTTCAAACCATAATTTTGCATACTTTTTAATAATGGAAACAAAATTAGCAGACCACCTTACACGGACCGTCACAATAAGAGATGAACATATGACCTTTGAACCTTTGCAGATTATGTGTTAGTACTGTGAAGTTAAAAAACTATTTTCTGTTCTAATATTCTTTATCCAAAAGTAATACCATAAGTAATGCAGCCAACCTCTTTCTGTTTCAGTCCCATTATATAGATGCAAAACTGACAATCTTCATCGACCTTGCAGTGATATTCAGATGGGTTGATGACTATAAAGCACTTAAAACACAATATGGTGCAGTACTTAATACGTTTTAGCTACTGCATTGTTTTGCTATCATGAAAACATGACATAAATATCAGAAGAAGTCTAATTATATCAGCTATCAGTCTGAAGATAATAAAACATTTTAAAATACATGAATTCCTTTTTTAGGAAGAGATGAAAATCATGGTTCCCTTTCTAGACATAGTATTCTTAAAATAGTAAAATGGTAGAAGAATGATCCTAAAAATTTTTTTGGAAAGAAACTAGGCCATCATTCAGCTCACGTGAAATTAAGAAAATAGTATACTGGCAAAAAATTAAAATTAATATAAAATGCTAGGATTTAACTCAAATCTAAGTCATTATTCTACCATTTTTTAAAAATTTCTCTCAAGGGTTTTAGTTTGTTTCTGTTATCTGAGTGAGGGACAGAAAAAAAAAGCCTAGGATCTCCCTAAAATCAAGAATTAAACAGGATATCATGGCATAAAGCACACATATTTACAGTAAGGATGAGTGAGGAACAGAATAAATGAAAGGTAGAAGAACAGAAAGAAAATCCATGTAAGTGGAAAGGAAGGATTAGATATTATCAGGACCTGGAGTCCAGGAAGACAGGACTGCCATCCGAGGTTAGGTTACCTGTACAGGTTGAAAAGATTTGAGGAAAAAAAAAAGATTCTCAAATATTTGCCCAAGGTGACCTATGGGAAAATCTCTTCCAACAATGACTACAACCAATCCAAGCATCTGAGCACCCCAACACAGCAATCCAAGGAATAAAAGTTCACAGCTCACGCCAAAGGGAACCTGACTCCATGAATAGGAACCAGCAGGAACACCAGAAAACAAATTCTGATCTGAGATAGCCAATTTCAGTTGTTGAGACAAACTTCACATGTTATACAACCATATTTAATACAAAAAGTCATTTAAAAATAACAAGCCATTAAAAAATGAAGTCATTAAAAATCAAGAATAAATAGGGTACTTACAAATCAGAGGTTTAAATCTAAACCTCTTAGAAACATGCTATAATGGGAACATATCAAATGTTAGATGCAAGAGAGAGATCAGAAACAATTCCAGGTAGGTTGAAAGAAAATAAGCAAACATGGATCATGAAACTAACAAAGGAACGTTGGCATAGCTATAACCAGGTAAGTCAGCAAGATAGTAAGATTTCATTAGTAGTAAATAGGTAACTTCTT